AAAACTAGACTTGACAAGCCAGTCAAGTGGCTGCCTGAAACTCTTACCGCCCAAAAGTACCATCAGCTTATGCTTCCACGTCCACCTTGCAAAATCTGGATAAATGATGACGTGATGACCAAGTGACAATCATACAAACACAAGGAATCGATCCTAGGCTTGTATCCGAGTTGTTTCATACTGTAGGGCGGTTTTGGCCACCAGTAGGGTTGTTTGTTAATTGTACCTAGCTTCCTACTCCTGCAGGTAGCGTTATACCCAGTGGGTAATGACTTAAAGCATAAACCGTGTCCTCCAATGAATTATAAAGAAATAGTGTTTATTTACCACCACACTGCTTTTTCTGTGACTTGCCAAAGCGGTTTACCTCAATAAAGCACCAAGATGTGAACAGCCTCTAAAATAATGTGGGAGACTGTAATTGCTTGAACACAGGGCTCCCATTTAGACGTCCAGATTAAAGCAACCTAAATAAAATCAAAACCATAAAATCCTACTGAATGTAAAACCATAAAATACAGGTGAAACTCGAATAATTAGAATATCGTGCAAAGTTCATTTATTTCACTAATGCAACTTAAAAGGTGAAACTAATATATGAGATAGACTCATTACATGCAAAGCAAGATAATTCAAGCCGTGATTTGTCATAATTGTGATGATTGTGGCTTACAGCTCATGAAAACCCCAAGAACCCCAAATCCACAACCTCAAAAAAGTAGATTATTACATGCAATCAATAAAACAAGGATTGTACATAGAACAATATCGGACCTCTGAAAAGTACAAGCATGCATATGTACTCAGTACTTGGTTTGGGCCCCTTTTGCAGCACTTACTGCAATTACTTTTGCACGATATTCTAATTATTCAAGTTTCACCTGTATATACTACATAATATATATTTTGTGTATATATTTTTATTAGGGCTGGTAATGATCAAAATTTTTGTGTTCGATTAATCGAAATAAAATGTAAACGATTAATCGATTAATTATAACGCACATACAGATCCAACTACATTGGCCTATACACATACAGCACAGCAATGAAGTCATAAAATGAACTAGGATCACACTAATCCAGCACGTTATTAATCTCACGTGCCCCACTCAATATGGCCGCCGCTTGTGTGGGGCAACTCAGAATAATAACGTGCTGGATTAGTGTGATCCTAGTTCATTTTATGACTTCATTGCTGTGCTGTATGTGTATAGGCCAATGCCTTGGCTGGCGCTCCTGTAGAAAGTTTCTTGGGCATACTCACCGGCCCAAGTGGCTCAGTAACGAAGGGGGGAGGAGTCCGGTGATGTCACGGACATCGACGTCACCGAACTCCTCCCCCTTTCCCTTCGTTAGCCGCCACGGACATCGATGTCACCGGACTCCCCCCCTTCCCTTCGTTAGCCGACGAAGCCACTTGGGGAAGGGGGGAGGAGTACGGTGACGTCACGGACATCGCCTACGGGACTCCCAGAAGCCGGCGGAGAGGTGTGTGTTTTATTAGCGATCAAAATAATTTTAATCCATCAAAAAGTTTAACGATTAATCGAGAAATGAATCTTTAATTTCCACAGCCCTAATTTTTATTGCTATTATACATCCAATAGGATTTTCTGATTTTGAATTTATTTAGGTGGCTTATATCTAGACACCATCTAAATATCAGCACCGTGTTTAAGCAATGATAGTTTTCATATATCCCTGGTGGGTAATACAAGCAGCTGTAGGTTAGATAGCACACAAAGGTAATACTATTCGAGCATAAGAGTAATGCCTTTGAGACTATGCTGCTCTCTACTGGGCAATGTTAGAACATATCAGACAGCAGAATGAAGACACACTACACCTATACAGTACTAACATATGCAAGGCCCATTTCACATACTATTATATAAACTGAAATACAGTGATGGGAAATGCAGCTATTTACATCAATATCTGCTCATGGGGAGTTTATGATTTAATGGACTGAAATCCAGTCACAGATAATAGAAGGTAGTTGTCTGTCCAGGTAAGATTAGCTGAGAGTGCATGTTTATGCATGTGGAAAAAGACTGCGGAAAGACAGGTAGACCCTTCTGGGCCTGGATTTGTGTGTGGCCCTGTTGTGCTTGATTTCCCATTTTCTGAATGTAATTAACGTTTATTTAAAATGTATGTGCTGCCAAAATGTTTTGAGAGTTTAGAGGGTTTACTGCTATACAGGGCTCTGTTGAAGAGATTTTCCTATCCAAAGGGCCTGGTATGGAATTTGGAGGGGACAGTACATTGTTTGGCGGGGGGTCTTGCTTTAACATCAATAGCAGACCCTCATCTAGGATAACGGTCTGCTATAGGTGAAGGGAATCCCCAGCCACTTTCCTTACAAACAGAAGGAAGCGGCCGGGGGCTGTCATTTTTCCAGCAACTTAAACGGCATTTTTTTCTTCTTTGTACATGTCAGTTTTGCTACAGTAGGTTGTATACATCGTACAGATTTACAGATTCAAAGCCAGGTCAGGGCATCCCCCAAGATTGTCATTGAAAGGAATTGTGCATAATGTTGCACTATTAAAATCACTGCTCCCAGACATATGGGATTTAAAAAAAAGTACTCTGGTACATGTGGAGGAAAACAACAGCAGGGAGTATGTGCAGGTGAGAAGTGTGGAGGGTATAATGGTGGGCAGTATGTGCAGGTGAGAATTGTGGAGGGTATAATGGTGGACAGTATGTGCAGGAGAAGGGTGCTGGGGGTATGAAGGGAATCAGTATGAGCAGGAGTGTGAAGTGTAGAGCGTATGGGACCTTAAGTTTTTGTTGTAGACCTACATTCTGCTGCAGTGCTGACTGACTTTCACATGAACACTAGGCACTGACCAGTTCACTGCAATGAGTCTGTTGAATGAAAAAAAGAGCTTGCAGTGCAGCACCACCTCCATGGTAAACATGCAGTGCAGAAGCTATGATTTACAGGAAAAAACTAGCTCCACCCTGCACTTTACAGCAGGAAGGAGACAGGGTGGCAAGTGACCCCCAGAAACACAGCAATCAACTATAATATATTATATAGCAGGGAGTGTAGTACTGCAGAAGTACCATTCCCTGGTATGGGAAGCACTGCCCTGCAGGTGTCTCGGGGAGGGGGTTGAGACATCTATTGCTGTTTTAACACCTCTCTGGGTGGGTTAATAACACCTGTTAGCTCCAATTATGCAATGCAATCAACACCATACCACCACGTGGTCTCTGACCCCACATTGGTTATGTTTAACAGATTATGTTGATTGGAGCCACATTCACCATCATTTTTGTACAAGTCATTCTGAATTGAGAAAGCTAGTCAAATGACCAGAGAAACGTCTTCAAGAAAAACTACAGCAAGTCCAGTTGCCTTGATTTATTTTTTTTACAGATATGTCTATGCTAATAACACCCAGATCTATCTCTCCACTCTTCAGCTCACCCCTTCTGTCTCCTCAGGCATCACTAATCTACTCACTGACATATCAACATGGATGTCACACCACTTCCTAAAACTCAACCTTTCCAAAACTGAGCTTATGATATGTCCTCCTCTCTGTGTCCCCTCCCCTGACTTCTCCATGATCAACAGAGCAACAATCAATCCCTTCCCTCAAGCCAGGGTGCTCAATGTAATCCTTGATTCTGAGCTCTCCTTTCAGCCTCACATCCAATCACTATCCAAATGTTGCTGACTCAACCTCCATAACACTTCCAAAATTCACCCCTTTTAAATAAATGACACGGCAAAGCTTCTAATTCACTCCCTTCTAATTTCTCACCTTGACTATTGTAACTCCCTCCTTGTTGGCCTACCACTAAACAGGCTCACCCCTCTTTTTGCTGCTGCCAGACTCATTCACCTTACAAACCATGCATGTCCGCCATGCTTCCTCTGTCTCCACTGGCTCCCATTTGCCCAACAAATCAAGTTCAAAATACTAACAATAACCTACAAAGTCTTCTCCAACTCTGCCCCAACCTACATCACAACTTCTTAAAATATCATCTAAACCATCCTCTCGGCTCCTCTCATGATGTCCTGCTCTCAAGCACCCTCATGACAAGTGATGGTCCGAACAGGCCCGAGTTCGGTTCGAATTTGAACTTTAGAACACCCAAAAAGTTAGAATTCAAACTTGAACTCAATGCAAGTCAATGGGGGTAGAACTTTCAAAAACAATTGTCCCCTTTAAGAGGTCTTTTATGCAAGTTATTGGCCATAAAAGGTGTATGGGGTTTAGCCACCCTCCAGAAGGAAGGGCAGTGTCAGCACCAATTCACAGATGATTTGAGGATCTACAGCCGAGTGATACACAAATAAGATACATTTTTGTTAATAGTTAGGGTAGTTGAATGCATTTTTAAGGTTTAACTCCTGAGTTAAAGGAGAACTATGAGGTGAGTAATTTTGGGTTGGCTAAAGACAATCTATGCAGTTAGTAGAGAAAATAAACAGCCATTTCCGGCAGTGCACAAGCTTTTCAAAATACCTATTTTCGTAGGAGCATGCCAGCATAGGATAGCATTAAACCACTGTATTATGTATTTATTCAGTATCTGTATTTGTAGAATATTTTAATAGATGTTATTACATGGAAATTCCCTGGCCAGATTGCTTTGTTTACCAGCTGATTAGTATGCCTTGAGGCAGATTTTCTTTCAGATTCCATTTTCCTTTTCATAATGATACTGACTGCAAAGCAGCAGCTGAGTGAAAGAGGGCTGGACTTCTGTAGTAATACAACCAAAGCAGCCTTCTCGTCACAGAGAAACGAAACTGAAAATCGAACTCCACTTCTCTTCCTGGTATAAAAGCTGACAGCCTAGAAGAGTCCATAACATTCCGCTTGTAAGCTGTGACGGTGCGATACCCTGAACTACCTACACAGAGCTGCTTTTCTATCAAGAAGATCCTTTGCAAGAGTCTACCACCAAGTACCAAGTTCTTTCTTGATCATTAGCTGGTAACAATGGCTCAGGAGGAGGACAGCCAGGTTGCAAAATTGAATATGATTGAAATATTCAAAAACAGACTTATCAAGATCATCGATGTGGTCCCTGTGTTGGACCACATGCACAGCTTGGAACGTGAGTTTGTGGAAACCTTGAGAAGTACAGCCTCGCAGTCAAACATAAGTGCCGCCAGAATGCTGATAGACCATCTACAAAAAGGCCCCCATAAACGTGGCTGGTTTGAAGAGTTTGTCAGTGCATTGCAAGAATCCGAAAACTCCCAAGCTTGCTTGTACGTGAAGAAAGAAGATCTCCCAACCACACAGCAAGAAAATAAACTTGACTGTTGTGAGAAGCTTATTCACTATCTTTCCCCGAAACTAGTGGATTTGATGAATCCTAATGAGGTCACCCCCATTTGCTTTGAAAAAAAACTGTGCAGCCAGGAAGATGTTGAAAATGTGAGTATGTGTGTGGTGTATACCGAGAAATGCTGGGTACTTTTGGGCAGTCTAGCTGAGCAGTTTGGACCGGGTGTCATCATTGTGACATCCTTGGCAGTCCAATTTTTTCCTTCATCTTATGATGGAGTACAAAAAAAAAAGAAAAGGAACTTATTAGACCCATGTAAGGTCTATAGGGAGTCAGATGTAAGTGGACATGTCTCAGTTTACATTAGAATACCCCTGATCCATCACAATCCGGTCCACCAAAATCAGACTTGTTCCCCTTTGTTTTCCGGACCAGGGCGGGTTGCATGTCTATTTAAATCCAGCTGCCCATAGACTAACATTGTGCTTATGATCAGATCCACCCTGAAAACTGACAGACGTCTGAAAGGGGCCTTAGACTCTCTGTCAGATTTTTATTGTTGCCTATATCCCCACTGAGGAGGTTCACACTCTAAATTTGTCCTGATGACCATTCTTACTGAGATAGAAAGTGAAGGGGAATCCCAAAGTTTTAGGTTGCAACCAGAGGAAAGGGTGAGGGGCAATCTTGAGGAAAAATGTTCCTATGATTTTTGACAGGAAGACAGGAACTCTGCTTTCTGACAGCTAGTTCACACCAGCCCCAGTGCATTCCGGCCCGATTCGGTGCCGGAGCGCACTGGATCGCATCCCGGGCCGGCTCACTTTGTTTTGGAGTGGGAAGGGGAGTGGCACTGCAGCCACGCCCTCCGCCCGCACCGGAACGCGTGGCACATCAATGCCTGCGTTCTGGTTTGATGCGGCCAGAAAAAACTAGTGCATGCAGCATTTTTTCTGACTGCACCGGACTGGAGCGCAGGCATTAATGTGCCACGTGTTTCGGTGCGGGCTATCGCACTGATGCCAGAGGGCGCGGCTGTGGTGCCATTGACTTCAATGCACCGCCATGCCCCCTCCCGCCCCAAAACAAAGTGAGCTGGGCGGGATGCGATCCAGTGCATTCCGGCACCGAATGGGGCCGGAAATGCACTGGGGCTGGTGTGAACTAGCTCTTAGACAATGATTTCCTATCATTTCTTGTTGCTTCTCCAGGACAGGAAGTAAGGAGGAATCTCCCCAGTGTGAAACAGACAGGAAAACATGATAGGGGTTTTAACCCTTCCATACTTTATCCATATGCTATACATACACTTTAAAATATTGCAGCTTACCAGTCATTAGATATGGTGGCTGTATTCGTTTTCTTGCTTTTTTCCCTTTAGTTTACCTGTTGATCTGGTCAGTAGCACACTTCCTGTCCTTGGATGACAGTTCTCACTAGGGTTGCCACCTTTTCTTCAAGGGAAACCCGAACACTCTAGCGACGTAATAATTTTTTTGGGGGGAGAATGAGCTGTGGCGTGTTCATATGTACATAGCGCCACCCATTTATATGTAAATATCACAGTTGAGACTATTTTCATTGGGGGGCCAGTAGCCCCTATCCTAATTTTGGTTGCCCCTGTCTGCCTGACATCTTGTGTCCGGGTTTCAGCTGCCATGAAACCCGGACACAGCATTCAAAACCCGGACTGTCCGGGTGAATCCTGGACAGGTGGCAACCCTAACAGCAATGGCCTGTGATGCCTCCCAACTCAGCAGTCATTCACCACCTCCATGTGGGGAGAAACTGCAGCTCTGATTCCTGAAGGCCTCATAGCACTCCATAGCAGCCAGTAACTCCAGGAAAGCCTCTGAGGAGGGGAGATCCCTACAACTTCCTACATCCCTAGGCCCTAAGGACAAGGCAGATGGTCACAGATGCAGGGTGCAATCCTGGAGGAAAGACCCTACTGGTGCACACTGGACATAGCAGGTGACTGAGAATAATCACTTCACACTTAGAAAACACAAGCCAGCACACAGCCAAGCTGACTAACATCTCACTATCAGATCACAAAAAGGAATTTAGAAAAATTGAGCTACAGGCATTGAGCTACAGGCTCCTGAGCACTCATGTGTGAACCAGCTCAATGTAGAAGTATGGGATTTTGGTTGTTGAGCATTTTGGAGCTTTGAGCTGCAAATTACAAAACGCTTATGGGTGAATCAGGGCTTAAAACGAGAAATAATCAGGCAATTCCCTCACCATGCTAAACAGTGTGGACTGATGAATCTCCAGTGCTGGCTTTTGTATTCAGGCAGCCACAGCTGATAGGATGCAGTCACTGTTTGGCCGACAATTTTCTACCTGGCTTAGGTGATTTTTAAATTGACTTTTTGAGATTATTCTGCAGAATCAGCCCATATTCAGACTGCCTATGGCCAAAAGTAGGCCTCATGCACATGAGGCATTTATGTGCGTCCGGGGATTCCTGCAGCAAGAACCTGAGTGTGGGCGGGAATCCCAGGTGGGTCCATACGCATGCGGCTCTGTGCCCATTCAAGTTAATGACCGGATGACAGTGGCCAAATCTGTCTGTATCTGTCTGCATGGAGTCGTACATGGAATGATTACCTGCAGATCGGGATAGTTGCTTGTCCCTGGATGTAATCTGTCTGCAGCCAGGGACAAGTCTATATCATATACAATTACATGTGGACAGCCATGAACAGATGTGGCAGCTGTCACCCTGTCAATCACTTGACCATTGAGTCAATTGAATGACAGGCTGACATAGGGTTGCCACCTTTTCTTCCAGCGAAACCCGAACACTCTAGCGACGCACAGAAATGTTTTGGGGAATATGAGTCATGGCTTATTCATATGTACATAGCGTCACCCATTTATGTGTAAATATCACAGTCGAGACTATTTTTATTGGGGGGCCCAATAGCCCCTATCTTAATTTTGGTTGCCCCTGTCTGCCTGACATCCTGTGTCCGGGTTTCAGCTGCCATGAAACCTGGACACAGCATTAAAAACCCTGACTGTCCGGGTTTCAGCTGCCATGAAACCTGGACACAGCATTAAAAACCCTGACTGTCCGGGTGAATCCTGGACAGGTGGCAACCCTAGTTCTCACTCACTGGACTGTAACTATGCCCTCCTCAATTGGACTACAAACGCCTTCCCCTTTTCTAATCTCTACAGCATAGAGAGAAGATGTTATGTCATTTACAGAAGAGAACTGGGAAGGCAAGATTAAAGAACCACTACAAGCAAAACAACCTGGGGGGAAGTTATCAAAACTGGAGCAGACTGAATCTGGAGCAGCTGTGTAGGTGGCAACCAATCAGCTTCTCTCTTCAGTTTGTTCAGTTAAGATTTGCAAATAGAAGAGAGAAGCTGATTGGTTGCCACGCACAGCTGCTTCAGATTTTGTCTGCTCCAGTTTTCATAAATTAATTTCACTGTATTCTAATCATGCCTATGAATTATGGGGTAGGGTTGCCACCTTTTCATTCAGCAAAACCCGAACACTCTAGCGACTCACTGAATTTTTTGGGGAAGAATGAGTCATGGCTTATTTATATGTAAATAGCGCCACCCATACATATGTAAATATCACATTAGAAACTATTTTCAGTGGGGGGCCTGAAGCAGTGGCGTCACAAGGGGGGTGCGGCCCGCACCCGGGTGCCACCATTTTAGGGGTGACACCAAAATGACTCACAGTCATTTTGGTGTCACCCCCCTCTGAAAAGTCGGGCGCTCGGTCATGGACCGAACGCCCAACAGCATCAGGAGAGAGGAGGGGACCCGGCGGCATACCTTATCCCGCCGGGTGACTGTCCCCTCCTCTCTCTGCCGGCGTCCATCACCAAGATGGCCGCCGGCAGGTATCAGAATACTGCCACGCGTGCGCGATGACGTCATCGCGCACGCGCGTGGTGATGTCACGAGCATGCGCAGTGATGTCTCAGCGGGGTGACACTCGGTTACCGCTCCGGGTGTCACCCAGCCTCGGGACGCCCCTGGCCTGTAGCCTCTATCTTGATTTTGGTTGCCCCTGTCTGCCTGACATCATGTGTCTGGGTTTCAGCTGCCATGAAACCCAGACACAGCATTCAAATCCCGGACTGTCCGGGTGAATCCTGGACAGGTGGCAACCCTATCATAGGGCCCCATGACAACATTTTGATGGGACCCTCTGGCTTCCTTGCTCTGTTGCAGCTGGCAGTGAGTGTCATCTGTGACAATACATGTCAATGATTTCAACATAAATGTATTCCTACAGGAAAGGCAGCAGGAGTGCCGTCTACTACTACTAGGGACCAGTGCTTTGGATGAAAGTTATAGTTGTAGTAGCAATAATATTAATACTAACCACAATGATATTTTATATTATGAAAATATTTTTAATGGTCTTGGTTATAAGTACTCTATATACCTACTCCTACAAACTTCTTGCCAGGGATAACGGAGTTAACTGCTCCTTTTAATCTAGGGGCCAGAATAAAGAATATATACTTACCTGATCCTCAGTCCCACCAGGTTGCTAGACCCGCCGCAGCAGCTTCTTCTCCCCCAGGCTCTGGTGGTCTAAGCCTCACTGCCCCACTGGTGTCATCACATCTATTGCAGGTCCATTCACCTGCATTAGACATGAGGACACTGAGGGACATATCACAGCTGTAGTGGAGGGGGAGAGAGGTGATTTCTGAGTGCCACAGGACCGAGGATCAGGATCAGGCGCTGGGGAGCATTTACATTAAAGCTATAAAAGGGATAACCTTTGCTTATGACATAGGAATGAAGCTTTCTTTATAAAAATGCAGCACAATGGTTGAGCCTGACTCCTCCTATAAAATGCGATGAAGAAGACAAATTGTAGACATTGATTAATAGTTGTGAGAGTGTCGCTGAGCAAAATCTTCCCTGGTCAGGTTACCCAGTTCTCTTGTGTCTTCTCCTAATACTGCAGAATTGAATAGTCACCAGCACAACGAAGGAATCAGTGCAAAGTCTGTCTTTATTGACGAGTAAACATTAAGTCACAAGAATAGCGCCGTTTCCGGGCCGCTTAGGGTCGTTTCATCAGACTGCCATTTGTCATATTGGCAGAGAAGGGACTCTAAACTCTGTGACATATTGTTTACTCGTCAATAAAGATGGATTTTGCAATGATTCCTTTGGTGTGCTGGTGACTATTCGATTCTGCATTGGTTTTAGACAGCGCCATCTGTCATTACTTCAGCACCGAATATCAAAGGGTATTGCGGTCATGAGTGCGGTGGGATACACACTGGACTTTCACTAATACCAGACATCCCAACTCTCCTGGATGATCCGGGAGTCTCCCGCTATAAGATAGCGGCTCCCGGCCACCCGGGAGAGTAAACCTTTCCCTGTGATCTGTCTTTTTTCTTTTTCTGACATCGGGGCCGCCGGCCGTCGTCAGTCAGAGAAAAAAAAAACAGCATAGGAATGCATAGCTAGATTGCTATTGGCTATTTCACTTTGCAATAGCCAATAGCAGACTAGCTATTGCACCCACCCACTGCTGCTGTCAATCAGCAGAGGGGGACCTGGAGTTCTCCATCAGGTCCTCTTCTAGTGTAGTGATTGACAGCAGCAGAGGGCGGGTGCAATAGCCAGCTTGCTATTAGATATTGCAAATTGAAATAGCCAATGGCAATCTAGCTATTCATTCCTATGCTGTTTTTTTTTCTTTCTATTATGACGGCAGCAGTCAGAATACTAAAAAAAACAAACCCCAGCAGATAGCAAAGAAGCTATTGCTTTCTGTCTTTCTGTGCTATCTGCCATCATTTCAGGCAGGTCCTCTATCCGCGGGAAGGGGGGGG